TGGTGTTGATGAAAGTACATTACACGTTATTGATACAACTATTGGCACAAATGAATGTACATTTTCTGTTAATGAACGGCAAAAGGTGTATGTTTAATCAATATATTCTTGTCTTAGAAAGTGCCAGAGTTTTCGAATTCCAGCGGCACATTGCCCTAACCCTATTCCTTACCTTGTCCCACACTAGTTCTTCTTCTTTGTTTTCGAGATTTGTCTTCAGCACTTCAATGCTAAAAAAATAAGTTGAAAAATGTTGAAAATGATTAGCGTAAACTAGGTTAGAAACTGGTAATGGTGGGCGTACTGTCTGTGAGTTAGCCGTGCCCTGACTTAGATCAGCCCAGAGGTTGTTTCAGGGTTAGATCTGTGAGTTAGCCCTGCCCTGACTTAGATCAGCCCAGAGGTTGTTTCAGGGTTAGATCTGTGAGTTAGCCATACCCTGACTTAGATCAGCCCAGAGGTTGTTTCAGGGTTCGATCTGTGAGTTAACCATGCCCTGACTTAGATCAGCCCAGAGGTTGTTTTAGGGTTCGATCTGTGAGTTAGCCATTCCCGCCTGATTTTGACCATGCAGTCAAGAGATTGCTTCAGGGTTCAATAACATTAAGCCCCTACTCTTGAAAATGATATGTCTAATTCAAAAGGACATAATCCTTGAGAAACCTAACCTTTTTCCTAATATTCTAGAGCACTCCTGAATACTCCATATCCGTTGATCCTGCAGCTCACTATCTTCATTTCCATTTTCTGCTTCATTATTTTCTGTGGAAGGAAGAAGGAAAAAATATTCAATCATCAATTATTGTGTAGGAAATCAAAAATGGAGAAGAAAGAAGAATAATAGTAAAAGGAAGGGTAAAAAGAGGAAGAAATGAAAAAAAAAAATACTCAGTTTGGTAGGATGACTAGAATTACACAGAGTAATCTTTATCTAGGCCCTTCTAGATTGAATTAGAATTTAGAAGTTGATTTTTGCAGAGGGAGGAAAACCGTAGAACCTGGAGTAAAACCCTTGAAGCACAGGTAAGGAACAACAAACTCTACTCAAATATGACGAGTCCGAGGATCGAACCTGGGTCACATTGATAAGAGGCGAGCGATCTAACTTCTACGCCACCCATGCTTCCCATGAAATAGGAGAAGGAAAAGTGAGTTGAGCTGAACTGAGAAGGAACAGGAAGGGCAAAAAAGAAAAAAATGAACATGTTGAATGGAGGAAAAAGGCAAGGAAGACAGTAGGAGATTAAAAATGGGAGAGGAAGAGGAGAAGTGGTTATACAGAGTGCCTTTTCTTCCACTGGCTTCCAATATATTAGAATTAGAAGTTGACTTTTGCACAGGGATGAAAAACTGCAAGACCTAGAGAAAAACCCTTAAAGCATAGGAGAGAATTGACAAGCAACTCTAACCACAAACAAGGTCAAGTCCGGGAATCTAACATGAGTCACATTGGTTAGAGACAAGCACTCTCATTGCTTTGCAAGCCATACTAAAGAAGAAAGGTAGCTAGGAAGAGAAGCAGGATCAGCAGGGACGGATCCAGGGGGGTTTTCACCGGGGAGGTGCACCGGACACCCCCCTAATGCCGTAAATTATTCTTAGCTTTTTTGAAGTGAGAAATCTAATTAAAGACTAAGTACTAAGGACTAGGAGTGTAACCAACATTCAAGATAGTGGGACTTCAGTTTTCTTTTGAAAACAGACACTGATGCAGAATTTGTGATTTCACTAGGGAGGGAATTCCAAACAGAAACCCCTCTATAAAAAAAAAAGAATTTTGGGCCTTAGTAATGCGCTACTTAGGGACATTGCTGTTTCTCAGGTGTTATAATGATGTATCCTAGAGCATTTCCTGAACAAGCTGCTGAGATAATCAGGCGCAAGATTATTCATACACTTATAAAAAACCTATACTGCTTAAATAGGTTTTCCAAGTTTGATTTGAAATGTGCAACTAGAAGAAAAACCAAGATAACACTACCTTGAAAAACTGTATCCCAGTTTAATGGATTTGGTGGAGTTCTCTTTTTCCACAGTTTGTCCATTGATAATAAATATTTGATGTCTTCACAGAAGAACTGGTGAAGAAAAGTCAAAGTTTTGAATATCTGTATCTGTATCAATGTTTGCATTATATTTTATTATTGTTATAAAAATTTGAAATTAGCATAATCTCTTTTTTGATTTTTATTCTCATATATTTTATCGTTAAGTGAATGAATGGAAGGATGGATTAGTGGCTGGGTGGGTGGTCTCACAGACGGACGGACAGACAGACGGATGGACGGACAGACAGACGGACGGACTGATGGATGGAGAGTTGAAAAAGGAGAGGAATTATAAGTTGAGCTGTAAATATATCTTGAAATGTTTGTCTCTGATTTCAATTATAATATTGATAAAGCTAAAAAAATAATTGTCGTAAAGCTGTTGTCTGTCTCAACATATAAAGTCAACGTGGCAGCTTTGAATTTTATAAATTTTCCAATATTTGCCCCCTCGGCATCTTGTAATGCCCATCCCATAATACCATATTGGCTATTGCAACTGACTTATATATTGCCTTCTAATATAGTACTAGTGAGACGGCGGAAAAAAGTGACCATAACTTACCTTATTAAAGAGTCTAACTACATTGTAACCAGTCTGTTCTGCCCATGATCTTGTTGATTGTCTCATAACGCCACCTATTGCGTCAGGTACATGGTCCTTCTCCAGAGCCTTCATGCCTGCGTCACCCATTGCCTCAGGGTCTTCAGTATCTGGTGATACTTCTTCATCTGCATCAGCTTCACCAAACAGCTGACTGAAAGATCATTAAAGTGTATATGACATGAAAACATTTCATCGTTTGAAATGTAAAGTTTGTTAATAATAATAAATATATTGTAATAAAATTTGTTTCAAAAGCTTCATTCTTGAGATATGTGAGAAAATTAAGCCCAATTTGTGACGTCATTTTGTTGACACGTACTCTAGATTCAGTAGTAATGCACWAAATRTAAATTGTAAWTYGTATAAAATAACAACAAAAGGMATATTCTATTCAGCTTCATTTGATAGCTTACGTAGTACTCTTCAAATGTTGGGAAACTGAAAAGTGTACTACCTGAAATTAAGATTCTACATTCAAACATATTTCGTGTATTTGTAACTAAACCTGGAGACTTGTAAACAAAATGACGTCACAACTTGTGCTAAATTTTCTTGAATTTTTAGAGAAATACGTTTTTGAAACAAATTTAACCGTGATATTCTTATTAATGCCAATAAAATACACATTTTTAACATTAAAWTTTTTTCGTGTCATATGCACTTTAAAGATTTGAGAGAGAATGAAATATACAGTACAATATCTTTGTTGGTTCCCAAAAAGTTCCTTTGCAGACAAAAATCATCCCACCTATGAAAATTAAGTCCCCTTGTTTTGTTTGTTTTCCTTTTTTTCTCCCTTAAACCCAGGGCTGGAGGAATGCAGCAGGGATCATCAAATTTGTAACAAAAAGGGATATCAATGGTATTTTCATCCAAACCTAAATTCTGGTTATCATAATAATTCTTTTTGAGTTTGAGAAGGATGCTACATTATCTATGATACCATAGTCCAGTATAATGTAAACTACTCCGCCCCTCCCCTCACCCTTAAAATAAATGATGTTATGAGACGGCCCCAGTAATTATACTTACTTAAACAGATGTTTGGCCCATACAATACAGTGGATGGGTTCAGAAGGAGTGTTGCGTATGGTGCATCCTGGGAAGGTCTTTTGGGTGGGCTTTGGTTGACATTCATAACATTCTGTAACACCCTTAAAATAATAAGATTATACATTTTACTAGTGCTATGCGGTGATGGGGACAGAAGTTACAAAAGCTAAATATTAGATAATAGACTATGGTGACCCCCCACGGGTAAGGGTGACTCCAGCGTAAAAGTATTGCGGAATGCTCCTCGTATGTCTTAGGGGTAAAAAGCAGTGGTTTTATATCTATTTACGATGCTAAAACAGGAATTTAGTATTTCAGCATATTCTGGTATCTCTTAGGGTATCTCTTAGTGTTAAAAAATCAGCCAACCATGCCCTCTTGAAAGCAGTGGAATCCACATTTGAATTGAGTTTGTTTGATGTGTTGTCCTCTCCCTGCTTGCCATTGAGTAGAGTTTTTTCTCTGGGTGCTCTGGTTTTCCACCTTCCTCGCATATTTTTTATTCATTTTATTTTATAAACTTCACCACATGGGCAGGGAAACCCCACAGAGCAAGGCTCCACTACGGGCACCCGGTTAGCATGGGCACTGAAGATGGTCATCACCAGCATCTTCAGTGGATCTTTTACGTCTGCCTCATACAGGGTTATATAGTGAAGACAGACAGGGCCTACGGTTTTAAGTCGTTGTCCGAGAAGACTTGAAGGTCTAACCATTTGCAGATATTATTACAAAGGCAGCACATTCTCCTCAGTTATTTTTTTAGTTATTTTTTCAGTTGTTTTTTCTACTTTGAAGAACAATGAAAACAATGAACTTTAATGAACTACTAATAATTATGATTACAAAATCCTAGATCTACTACTGATATTCTTATCTTAAAGATTACTTAAGATATAATCGATGAATCGATCGGACTACTTTTTGCCATACTCTTAGCCTTTAAAATAGCTACTATCATCTAAGTATATTTGGTAAATCTTTACTCGATTTTTTCACTTGGAGTTTATATCATTATTTGTATTTTGTTGTTGTTATTATAATTTAAATTCATGTTGGGGTGCACTTAATTTGGAGCCAAGCTCTGTTGTGCTTACCCCTTCCATGATAGCTTAGGAACTTAGATAATCCTCATGGATAAAGTTATGTAAATAAATAAATAAATAAGGCCCTCAGTGTTGGTCCGGCCGAGGCTTACTTACTAGCAAGGTTTTGCTAGTGCGTTTAAAAGTTAATTTTGTACCCTCTAATAACATACCTTTTTGATGACAGATGCCTGTCCCAGATATCCTGCAGTTCCACTTTCCACCAAAGGAACATCTGCCGCTAAACACATTCTGTTTACATGGTTTCTTGCAGCTGAAAATATATAGTGTTCATGCACTAACAGTTACTCATGATTAGGCTAGCTAGCTGCTATAATTGCCTTTGTACATGCTGCAATTTTTGTAGAACATGGCCACTCTCTTTAAAAAACAGGATAGAGCTTAATTATTTTCGGGATAGGATAAGGCAAGGTGTCAGTAAGTGTTATGCTGACCACATACCGACACCCTACCATACAGCGCAGGTTGATTACAATATATAGCCGCATTTTAATGTCAAATAGGCTCAATAATTTTATAATTTATTTACCTCTGTTATCCAGTGCGTTCATCACAACATCAAACTGTTTGAAGTAACTGACACCATATTCAGAGCTAGAAACAAAAGTAGAGCCAGGATCAACATTTTGTTCCAGAAATTATCCATCCCCCCCCCCCCCCCCCTTCAAGGGAGGATTGTTTTAAGACCCCCTTCCACTGGATATTCCAATTGTCGTCCATATAAACTCAGTAATTTTGTTCTTTCTCTGACCCCCTACCCCCTACCGCTTGGAAATTCCAAATTTCTCTGTGGGGAGGGGGTACATTGTACATAATTTCTGGAACTACACATTGGGATACTACTAACATGAATTGAAACAATTTTCAAAACAACATATCATGAAAATTCAATTGTGAACATTTTTTAGCAAAATGCAATGAAGCATTAATTTTTGTGGCTACTGCCTCCTAGAGAGGCAAAGCCACTATGCTATCGAGTCGTGTAAGTCTGTCAGTAACACCACAGGAAGCCCAAACTGATGAATGGATAAACTTCGGAACCAATCATTAAACTTCAGAGCCAATCAGGGATAAGTGACTCACGTTCTTCAATATCGATAAACTATGGAACCAATCATAGCTTGAATAACAAAATCTCGGTATTTCCGAATTGTAACCGATGTAAGGATGACGCATTTTTAAAAGCAGGATTGTCATCTTGGACTGTCTTCGTTCTTCGCTGCTCGAGACTTCAAGTAATTAAAGTGCTTTCATAAAATCTATCAATATCATTTATCACAGCTTTCATCATGTAGTATACTATACAATAAGATGAAAGGTTTTGTAAGCGTCATTCCAATTTTAGGCCGATGTTTTTGCCGAAAACAAAGCTGCCTGACTTCAAACAGGGCTTCAAACAATGAACTTTCTCAACCAATGAAAAGCCTTATATTGGGAAAACAAATGGCGTTTAATGCCAGATATCACCCTCTTCGGAGGATGATTGAGCCTCTTCCGAGGATAATTAACCCTCTTTTGAGGATAATTGTGCCCTATTGTGGGATTAGTCAGCCCGTTGAAGAGGTCCTTCCGGTAAATGAAAACTGACGATCAGCTGTTTTACAGAGATCACATGTTTGTTGTGACACTGAGTCTTTCTTTATCCAAGAAACTACTATGGAAGCTGTGGTAAATGACTATGGAAGTTGTCTTAAAACTATTCTCGGTCAGTGTGACTTACATCTCGATAATGTCAGTAGTCCAACGTACAACAATTTTAACATTTATAGATTTCCTGTTAGAAATATTAAAATCAGGGTGTTTTCATCTAAGTGCCCCTTTAAACAATCCATTTCTAAATTGGCAGTAGACACATGCGGTTTACGACCGCCTATTTTTATATTGTGTAGTTCCAGAAATTCTCCATAAACCCCCATTTTAAAAATCACAGTGGAACATATCTTGGTATATCTTGACTGAACAACAAGTTGTCCAAGTCATATTATAAGCTAAAGAGTGATTCTTTCCAACAACCAAAATCATGTGTCAAGAATGTTGTATCTAAGAATATTTACTCCTAAAGGGCTCCTCCCACACTAGAGGGCTCCTCCCACACTAGAGGGCTCCTC